CCCGCCGGCCGCCCCCAGTCTCCCCCCAGCGATGGGGCAGCGATGGGGGGGCCGGGAGAAGGCCGAGCCCCCCGGGCCCCTGTGAAGCAGCCCCTGCCGGGCGGCAGCGGGCACCATGTCCTGGTGGAGCAGCCTCTGCTGTGAGTAGCGCGTCCCCGTCGGGGGTTCACCCGGGGGCCCGGCGGGCGGGGCGGCTTTGAGGGCCGCTGGCTGCTGGGTTGAGTGGTGGGAGCAGAGCTGGAAAATGCTACGTCTCAAAAAAATTTGTTTTAAAAAATCACAAGGCTTTAGCAAGGGCCGGAAACATGCTCTCCCTGCAGAGCCTGGAGGTGAGCAAAACGGGATGTGGGACAGGATGGGGCAGGCCGCTCTTCGGGGTGCCACGGGGGTGAGTGCAGACTGAGAGGTGGAACCCAGGCTCCAGTGCGGCAGCCACGTGATGGCAGGGGTTTGGGGCAGGATGCCAACTGTAATGCACACCTGTGCCATCATAGTTGGCTTCTGTGTTGGAACCTAACTGAAGCCGAGGCTGCCAGGCTGGGTGGTTTAGAAGGCTGCCCTGTAGGTCCTGCAGCTATCCGAGATGTGTGCCAGCCTCCTGAGGTGATCAAAGTGGTATTTTAGGAAGCACGGTGTGTCCTAAGGTCTGTGCAGATTCCCCTCGGGTGCAGAAGGCAGGTGGAGCTGAAATCAGGGCCGAGTTCCCTTTGTCCAGCCTTTGCCCGGAGCACGGAGGCGCCGTCTGGGCCTGCAGGGGCCCATCGGGAAGAGTGTTCTGACAAGTCACTCCTAGGATTACCTAGGCCAAAAGAGACGACAGACCAGTTGACGGCATTTAAATTTTCTGTGATCCTATATACTTTCTGTGTGTGTGTGCTCAGCCCATATATCAGTCTATATGAAGAGAACATCGGGATCTTGCTAAGCTACCCCGCTTCAGCAATAGCTTTTCTGTCCGCCACTTGGCAGCTGTTCATCTTTGTTTCCCTAGTTTTGACCGTAAACATTCCCATTATCCCAGAATTTAAGAAAAAGTGTTGCAAATTGAAACAGGGATTTAGGAGCACCGAAGGAAAAAGGGGGAAGGGGGAAGGATGGTGTGAATAACACCTATTTTCTCCCACGATGTCAGCAAAGTATCCTTGCATTTTCTAATGAATTCTAGAAAGGTTAGTGAATGACGTAGTTTTTACCTCATGCTTGCTGGTAGGAAATTTATGTTTGTGTTCATTACTAGTAAAACTGTACTGGAATAGAGTTTATTTTGGGGGTTTGACATTTTTCTCTGGTGTATTTTCAATATCATCATCCACCTTTTACGAAAAGGTCACACCTTGTGTGTCCCATTAGAAGTGTTTGTGGAAAGTTCTCTCGTGAGTGTGTTTTTATGATTGGGGACCTTTTTAAGAAGTACCGCATGCCACGGAAATGCATTTCAAGAAATCTTTCATTCTCGATGCAGTAGAATGACTACACGGACCAAAATGGAAGTTATATATAAATGTATTGATTGGCACTTTTTAAATAAGAAACTATGCCCTGCTCCTGTTTACTTTTTTAGTAGCACTCTTTTTTTTTTTTTTTTAATGTTTGTATTGATTTCAGAGTGAGAAAGGGAGATGGAGAGAGAGAGATAGAAACATCAGTGATGAGAGAGAGTCATTGATCGGCTGCCTCCCGCATGCCCCGACTGGGGATCAAGCCCATAAGCCGGGCCTGTGCCCTGACCGGGAACTGAACCTTGATCTCCTGGCTCATAGGTTGATGCTCAACCACTGAGCCACGCCAGCTGGGCGAACCTGAATTTTTTAAAGGTCATTTGAAAGAAGCAGACACTGCCTAATCTATTGAGATTCACAAATACTAAGACACTTACCTACCCTGGAATTGCTGATGTTAAAGAAAGTATGAATTGGTTGTGTTTTTTAAACGTTCCGTTTTCTTGAATTGTAATCATTTTACCCCTTTTCCCCCACCCCTCTCTTTTTTCTGTTAATAGTTGGACAGAGAGAATCTGAAGATGTAAATGAAAGAGGCTCAGATAAGGAGATGGCCGCCAACTCAGCAGTTGTTCAAGACATCACGAAAGATGGGCAGGAGGAAAGCCCTGAAATAATTGAGCAGATTCCTTCTTCGGAGAGCAATCTAGAAGAGCTAACGCAGCCCGCCGAGTCCCAGACTAACGATGTTGGATTTAAGAAGGTGTTTAAGTTTGTTGGCTTTAAATTCACTGTGAAAAAAGATAAGAATGAGAAGTCTGACACCGTCCAGCTGCTCACTGTCCGCAAAGAGGACGGCGAGGGGGCAGGAGAATCCGATGGGGCCGGCGACCACCAGGAGCCCAGCCGGGAGGCTGGGGAGGCAGCACCCAAAGAAAGCGAACTGAAGCAGTCCACGGAGAAACCCCAGGACGCTCTGAAAGCCGAGCCGAGCGGCACGGAAATTTCTCTTCAGGCCGAGCCTGGCCACGCAGCGGAGGAGGGCAGAGATGGAGAGAAACAAGAGAGGGAACCCACCAAGTCTCCCGACTCTCCGACCAGTCCAGGGGCCAGCGAGACGGCATCACCCTTCAAAAAGTTCTTCACTCAGGGGTGGGCCGGCTGGCGGAAAAAGACCAGTTTCAGGAAACCGAGAGAGGATGAGCTGGAAGCTTTGGAGAGGAAAAGGGACCAGGAGCCAGAAAGAGCAGACGCAGAAGAAAAGGAGAGCACGGAGGAGACCTCTGAGAAACCGGCGGCCGTCGAGCAGCCGCCGCCACGGGGCGCTGCAGAGAGCCTGGCGGAGGCCAGATTATCGGCCGAGTACGAGAAGGTGGAGCTGCCCCCCGAAGACCAGGCGCAGGGCCCTCCTGAAGCGAGAACCGCCCCGCTAGCTACAGAAATATTCGATGAGAAGGTAGAGGTGGTCGCAGAGGTCCACGTTAGCACGACAGAGGGGACAGAGGAGCAGAAAGCCCAGGTGGAGGCAACAGAAGAGGCCCCGCCGGCTGAAAAATTGGCCGAAGCCAGTGCCGGGCCTCAGGAGGCTGAGCCTCCCGAAGAGGTGAAGACCAAAGCAGCGGGTGCCCCCGGAGGGGACCACACCCAGCCACCCGAGCCCGGTCCCGACGAGAAGGCCCCGGCCGCACAGCCCGAGGGCCTGGTGAGCGAGGCGGAGGCGCTGGCGTCGCAGGAGAGAGTTAAGGTGCAGGGAAGCCCTCTGAAGAAGCTTTTTACGAGCACTGGCTTGAAAAAGCTTTCAGGAAAGAAGCAGAAAGTGAAAAGAGGCGAGGAGGAGCCGGGGGAGCACCAGGCAGTGCAGGCGGACTCTGCGGACAGCGCGGACGAGCAGAAGGGCGAGAGCTCCGCCTCGTCCCCCGACGAGCCCGAGGAGACGTGTCTGGAGAAGGGGAAGGCGGCCGCTCCCCAGGACGGCGAGATCGAAGAGGGGACCACTTCGGATGGAGAAAAGAAGCGGGAAGGCGGCGTGACTCCCTGGGCCTCCTTCAAAAAGATGGTGACACCCAAGAAACGTGTCCGCAGGCTGTCGGAGAGCGACAGGGAGGATGATGACCTGGACAAGGTGAAGAGCGCCACTCTGTCTTCGGCGGAGAGCGGGGCCTCGGAGGTGCAAGAGGAAGGGAAGGGACACGGCGATGAGCCAAAGCCCGAGGAGCCCAAGCGCAAGGTGGACACCTCAGTGTCTTGGGAAGCCTTAATTTGTGTGGGGTCGTCCAAGAAACGAGCAAGGAAGGCATCCTCTTCTGATGAGGAGGGGGGACCAAGACCCATGGCTGGGGACAGCCAGAAACCCGAGGAAGCGGCAAGAGACAGAGAAGCGGGGCCAGACGCTGCCCCCGCCGGGGCCCAGGAGCACGAGCCAGGGCAGGGGAGCTCGTCCCCTGAGCAGGCGGGCAGCCCCTCCGAAGGGGAGGGCGTTTCCACCTGGGAGTCATTTAAAAGATTAGTCACCCCCAGAAAAAAGTCCAAGTCAAAGCTGGAAGAGAGGAGCGAAGACGCTGGAGCGGGGGCTGGTGCAGAACCTTCAGCCGCAGAGGGTGAAGCCGGGAAGGAGGAGTCTTGGGTTTCGATTAAGAAGTTTATTCCTGGACGGAGGAAGAAGAGGTCAGATGGGAAACAAGACCAAGGGGCGCCCGAAGACACAGGGCCGGCGGAAGCCACGGAAGACGATTCGGATGTCCCGGCCGTGGTGCCCCTGTCCGAGTACGATGCCGTGGAGAGGGAGACCACCGACGCGCGGGACGCCCGAGCCAGCGGGGCGCAGCCCGAGCCAGCGGCGGCGGTTGCTGTGTCGGAGGAGCTCAGTAAGGGTCTGGTTCACACCGTGACCGTGGCGGTCATCGACGGGGCGCGGGCCGTCACCAACATCGAGGAAAGGTCCCCTTCTTGGATCTCTGCTTCGGCGACAGAGCCTCTCGACCCCCCGGCTGGAGAGGTGCTGGAAAGAGAGGTCAGGGCAGAGGAGACCCCCATTGTTACCAAAACCCTGCCCGAGAGCTACGATGCCGCCGAGGACACGATCACCAGTGAGGTGGAGTTAACCTCTGAAGCCGTGACCGCTGCGGAAACCACGGACGCCTTCAGTGCAGAGGAAGTGGCAGAAGTGTCGGGGGCTGAGGAGACCACCGACATGGTCTCGGCTGTCTCCCAGTTAAGTGACTCCCCAGACACCACGGAGGAGGCGACGCCGGTTCAGGAGGCAGAGGGCGGCCTGCCAGATGTGGAGGACCAGCAGCGGCGCACCCAGGAGGTCCTGCAGGCGGTTGCAGAGAAGGTCAGAGAGGAGACCCGGCTGCCTGAGGCCAGAGGACAGGAAGACATGGTCCCGACAACGCAGAGAGTGGCATCGAGACTGCCAGCCGTGGAGGAAGCAGAAGAGGACTCTCAGGTGCCGGATCTGAAGGGAGAGATGGAGGTGGCACGGAAGGGACACGTAGAAGAAACGACCCAGGGGAAGGGCGTCGGACAGGCCGCCCCAGGACACCTTGAAGAAGTTCCCGAAGTCACAGAGGGTGTCTCCTCCAGCGAGCTTATAGCCAGCCGTCAAGCCGAAGCCTTGGCTGGGGTGAAGTCAGAGATTGTCCTGGAGCAGGCCATAGCCCCCGACTCGGCCGAAACCCTCACAGACAGTGAGACCAGTGGGAGCACCCCGGTGGCAGATGGTGAAGCTGGCCATGCCACACAGCAAGACGAGGTCATGGGGACCCATGCAGATGACGAGGTGGTGTCTGGCACAGAATCGCAGGTGCCGGGAGCAGAGGCGCCTCCAGCACACTCTGGGTTCCAGCCCCAGGAGGAAGGAAAAGAGCACTCAGATGCCGAAGAGGTTCTAGAACTTGCGAGTAAAGAGGCGTCGGGTAAAGAGGCATCGGTGGAGACCGCCCCCGTTCTTTCAAAGACTGAGGCTGGTCAAGGGGCCGGCCAGTTTGCCCGCGAGGAAACCAAAGACGGGCCATTTGTTGGAGGGCTTGACATGCCTGCGGACGCAGAAATAGCAGCCAGTCAGAAAAAGACCACCGAAGTTGCCCTTAAGGATGAAGCTACCGAAGAGGCTGAATTTCAAGAGAACGATAATACTGAACTGCAGAGCCGCACTCGGTCTCCTCCAGCCCCAGCGGAGGGGGAGCGGGTGGTGCAAGTAGAGGGGGAGGGGAGGGAAGCCGAGCCAGCCCCAGGGAGCCAGGAGAAACCTGAGCCCAAAGCCGCTGAGGCGCCCAGTGCGCAGCTGGTCCAGGCCGTTCCCGCGCCCGCCTTAGACGCCGAGAAGGACGCGATGGGTTTTGAAGAGAGTTCTCCTTGGCTCGTCCCCGGGGACGCGGTCGGCGCAGACACTCAAGGTCAAGGCTCTGAGGCGGCACTGCTTCTACCGGCTGCAGCGGCGGCGAAGGTTGTAGGAGAAACCGTCCAGCTTCTAGAAACAGCTGGAACTTTGGAGTCTGCGGATGCACCTTTGGAAGTGGAAGCAAAGCCCTCGGAAAAAGAAGATGTTGTGGTCCAGCTGGGGGAAGAGGCAGTGCCCACAGGGCCCGAGTCAAGGGCAGAACCAGCACCCGGAACAGTGCCTGCCGCCCCTGGAGAGGGCATGGGCGCTGACCTGGAAGGAGATGAGACCACGTCGCAGAAGGGGAAGCCGGACGGGCCCCACGAGCAGGTTAGCCGTCAGGTCGCCAGAGGGAGTGAAGCTGGAGAGGAAGACGTAGAGGCTGCAAATGAGATTTTGCAACTTAAGACTGAGAGCCGTAAGCTCGTGCAGAACGTAATTCAGACAGTGGTTGACCAGCTAGTGAGTCCAGAAGAAAGAGCCGCTGACGGCCAGACACCGGCCCAGCTGACAAAAGCTGACAGTCAGAGAGGGGAACAGAACGTCGACGGTCAAGCAGCGAGGGGACTTCAGGTCTCTGCAGAGGATGAGACACAAGCTACCACCGCCAGAGAGGAGTCCGCAGTGACCGAACAGACAGGCCCCGATGGTCCCAAAGATGTGACCGCAGCTGCAGAAGAGATCACGGCCGTCGAGGCCGAAGGCTCCAGCATAAATGACCAGCAGCTTGAAGAGGTGGCTCTCCCAGCCCGGGGAAAGAGAGAAGTGGCCGGGACGAAGTCTGTGCGGGAAGATGGCGATCGTGCCGGCCTGGGAGAAAGAACAGAGAAGCCTCTGTCCGCTGCCGAGTACCCCGAGAACCAGACCTCGGCCCTGGAAGACGCCGAGGCCTTGGGAGACCTGACCAAAGAGTCCCCGGATGCAAATGGACCGAAACGAAAAGAGAAGGAAGTGGAATTTCAGGAAGGAAAAGGGGAGAGCGACTCAGAAAAAGAGATCAGGACGCAAACGCAGGAGGAGACGCAGGGCAGAGAGACGCAGCCAGCAGCGCCGGCGCTTACGGAGCCCTAAAACATCACGTAAGCCAGGAGCCTTTTCTTCTAAGGGAACTTTTTCTCCTTTAAGCCACTTGATGGCAAATTTGTTATAAGGGAAGCAGGAGTTCAGGTCGTTACGCTTTTATGCAGAACCTGCCGTTGGGGAAATCACCAACCAGACTAGGAGATCTGGGTTAGTTTCTTCTCTCATTGAAATGCCATTCAGTCACATTGGCGTCATGAAAATGACAATTTCGTTTTATCCCCAGTGTGACTGTTTTCAAAGAAAATCAAGGCCCACATGAGTGTGCACAAGTTTGCGTGTTTGGCCAAAGGCCTAAGAAATACGTTGTGCTCACTCAGCCCCACACTGACGAGTCTGTTGAATTTTTTTTTTTATAACTAGAAGCCCAAAGTAGGTTAATATATTGCTTGAAATTTAGTTTATACTCTCTAGAAAGAAAAAGGAATTTCTTCAGCAGTAGTAACAAACATTTTTTTAAAGTTTTTTTTGATTGATTTTTAGGGAGGGATAGAGAAACATTGATGTGAGTGTGGTACATCGATCGGCTGCCTCCCGCATCCCGCTCCTGGGGATGGAGCCGAAACCCAGGCATGTGCCCTGATTGGGAAGTAAACCCACAACCTTTTGGTGTGCCCGGGCTGATGCCCAACCAGCTGAGCCACACCATCCAAGGAATGAACAAATATTAAAAAAAAAAATTCCAGTGCATGCGATGAGCCTGGCTGTTAGGGAACCTCAGAAATTGGTTTTGATGTCTCAGATCATAATATGTTGCAGACTCTTACCCTCTTGCTTTTTTTTTTTAAAAAAATATATATTGATTTCAGAGAGGAAAGGAGAGGGAGAGAGAAACATCAATGATGAGAGAGTCACTGATCGGCTGCCTTCTGCACGCCCCCGACTGGGGATCAAGCCCGCAACCCGGGCATGTGCCCTGACCGGGAATCGAACCCTGATCGCCTGGATCCTAGGTGGACGCTCAACCGCTGAGCCACGCCCGGCCGGGCGACCCTCTTGCTTTCTTAGAGAATTAAACTATGATATCCGGGTCTCTAGTAATGGGCACCCGCCTTCATAGCTGTTCTGTGGTTAAATAAATGAGGAGGGAGGAAAAGGAGATTTTATTTACTTTTGACTCTCCCTTTCTCCTACAGTTAGACCCGTGAATTTGCGAGACCAGAATGTGAAGACAAGTGGTAGAAGAAAATGAATGCTGCTGATGAGACTCAAGACCAATATTTCAGACCTTTGAGATCCGAAGAGCAGGCCCATCCACCGATCTCATTTCCAGAGAACCCCCGACAATCCTGAGGCTTCATCGGGAGCTAGAGCCAGTTCACATTCCCTCTTCGCAAGACCGCCTGTCGTTTCCCCTTGACACCACACCGTGTTTCTCATTCAAGGTCCTGAATCTTTAACCTGGGGCTGGAGTTGGCAGTACCTAGTTCCACTCCTCAAACTGGAGTTTCATTCTTTATGTATTTATATGTATGTTTTAAGTAATCCTCCTCCTGTATCTAGTGTATATTTTTTCTTACTGTTTAAGGAAATGTGCGGGAAGCGTACATTTCCGATGTATCACACAGTCTGTGACGGGGCATCGGCCGTGGTGAAGCCTTGGAAGCACTGAGCCTCCTGTATGAAACCTGTGAAGACAGCTTCCTAGACATAACATTCCCGAGCAGGAGCTACAGTTCTTATTTTAAAATTCACTAAGGATTAGGTCCGCGTTTAGTATTACTCTGACATTGGTCGCTTTCCTATTATGCACAGTATGCTAAAAATAAAAAGCATTTTTGGGGGGAAACATACAGAATGTTCCATTGTTACTGTGAAATTTTTCTTTCTAGCCCAATGGAGGTTAGAAGTTTTGTTGTTTTTATTTTTAGTAGCGGATTAACTTTAGGTCTTTTCTCCTAATTGTTTGGACAGATGGGTGCTGAATCCTGAGGCAAAGTAGTGAAATGTTTTTCATACTATCAAGAAAAGAATGGACTGTTTTTAAGTTTTGGGTTTTATTATGTGCCGGACCACACTCCCACGCAGCATGAATAAGTCAGGCTCTTTACAGATGGTATTTTGATAGATGATGGATTGTGTCTGTGCCATATTTGTGCCCACTCTTTAAATAACAATGTTGCATTATGTTCAATTTGGATAAACTGTGATTTGACACCTGATTTAAATAAAATATTTGCTTCACTTAGATTTGCTGGTTTTATTAGATACTAGGAAGGCTGGGCCATATGTTTACTGCATCCTAAGAGCAGAATAAGCTAGAATTTTCTAATGTCACTATATGACGTGACCACTTTCTACCGGTTTGAGCTGATGTTCAGAGGAAGTCATAGCTGATAGGTATCCACCAAAATAAACCAGCAGCTTTTCAGATGGATGGTACTGATACAATGCTACCATCTGCTGGTATCTTCCTGAAAAGGTCAGTTTTCTGCATTAATATTTGTTAATGACCAATGTTCCTAGATAGAAATTTTAAGAAGGCTTAATAGTAAGAATGCCTTGCCTAACAGGTGATCCTGAACTTTTTAAAAATGTTCAAATGATTTATGGTTCTTGCTAATATATAAAGGATTCTATCAAACAATTTCTACACAAACAGTACTCACTTGTCTACCATAAAATCCCATTTTTTCACACGTAAAACTTGCCTGGCATATATACTTCTTAAATTTTACTTAAACTCAGTCCTCCAGTTTGAGAACTTTCGTTTCAACTGCCAATTAATGATTTTAAAGCATAACATTCTAGAAAGACCAGAATAGCCTTTTAGCAGAAAGAAAATTTGCTGTTAGAACTGAAGAGTGGTTTCTCTTATACCAACACACCTGTCTACAAGAAAACATTGGCCATAATAGAGACACCTCATAACAATGTATGGCCTTGTAGCTGGAAAGCATTGAATATCCTTTTAGGAGTTACTCTCATGTATAATAGCCACCTGTGCTTAATTATTAAACTTTAAAATCCCCTCCCCCCCAAAAAAAAACCCCTCTCATCTAAGTAGCTTCTTTTACCAACTTGAGACTTAAAAAAAAAAAGTGCTAGTGTCAATTTTTGAAGATCAACCAAAAAGTACTGGAGATGACAAGAATTTGGAAGGAGTCCATGAGAGCTCCAATATTGATTCAGCTTTCTCTCTGTGGCAGGAAGAAACTACTATTTTGAGCAGATGAAAGATTTGTGTAGTTTGTGGTGAACAGATTTTCTTTCTTTTTTTGGTGTGAATTCCATCCTGCCGGGTCATCCCGTGTGGACTGACGTGTGGCCAAGCAGGTCGTCGCCACTGGTCCTCCTGACTGTGCTGCTCGTACCACTGTCTGGATGTGCCCTGGGTCCTTCTGTACAAGCTCTGTACCTCTGTCCATTAAGCAACACTGTGTGACTAACAAGAGGAATGCTATGAACAGTAGCAGGAAATACAGGTCTGTGTTATCATTCTAAAGCTGCTGTTACTTTACCAAGTTCATAATAATCATGTAAACTGCAGAAATTGGAGCAAGTGCCTAAATTTTGCTACTTTTGGCATTTCCACGGAACCATGTACAACAGAAAGCAATGCAAGACTTGTACACCCGCCACTTCTTGTAATCGAGGACTTTAAATTGTGCCCCTAAGGGTTACTTTGTTACCGGTTCACACAAGTTGCCTCTCTCTGTACTTCGTTCCAAAAGTTTCCTTTGATGTTTGGAGCTACAGATAGTCAAGGGCTGAAAATTTGAGCTTTCCGTGTAAGCTTCAAGCCTAGCAGTTCTGTTTTGTTGTGTGTTTTTTTAACCTGAGACAATATCTGATTCCTAGTTCTGTTTGGGGGCAAATTTTTCATTTATCTAAATAAAATGCAACCTAATGAAAATGCCATGGGTTTCCTTTCTGTAATTTCACCCTAATTCAGTTTTGATTGCCTCTCTCTTTCCTGTCGTGATATTTGTCACACACTTAACTTCTCCTTTGTGGCGCTGTCCACAGAGCATCGCGCGCGTCTGGAATGTACCTGGGATATGTGTGAATTCACAAAAATCTCCGCATCAGTGGCTCTTAACCTTTTTGGGTCGGGGGCCCCTTTCACTGGAATCTTATTAAACCTCTGGCTGACCTCCAAAACCCCCAGATGAACACGGTGTCATGTACAGTGTTTGGATAGTCACGCAGACCTACTCATAAATTCCAACCAACCACCAGAACTGGAGTTGAACCCCTTACCCAGCTCCACCGGGAAAGAAAGGACAGAGTCCAAGGATTCCAGGTAGCAAGAGGGTGAGCCCCGAACACCGAGCAGTGCGTCCAGTGACTCCAGGTCTACATAACTGTTTGTTCCCAGTGTGATTCTGGAAATGGACCTGCGGGCAGCCTTGCGTTTTTGTGTAAATGCAGGTGTCTCCTCACCAAATTCTTTACCGTCTCCAGCCTGGATCACTGGAAGTAGGAGGACGATCTGGGCCCGGCCAGAGGGGCTCTGCTGGTGGAGCACCGTCCTGTGCCGCCAAAGGGTTACCGGCCTGATCGCTGGTCGGGGCACATTCCTGGGTTGCGGGTTTGGTGTTTCTCTCTCCCCCTCTCTAAGCATGTCCTTGGGTGTGGATTAGGGGGAAAAAAGAAAATGGTCTGGGGCCTACTTTTATATGTGAGAAAGTTGAGATTTAGTTCACCTGCTCGGAAGTGATAACACAGGTTTTTGGCTGAGGTGGCCAGGGCTTGGGGATGGCATGGGGGTGAAGATAATGAAATAATCATGGCTTTTTTAAAAAATTTTATTTACTAGCAGCAGCCCTAGCTGGTTTGGCTCCGTGGTTAGAGCGTCGGCCCGTGGATTGAAGGGTCCAGGGTTCGATTCCGGCCAAGGGCACGTATCTCGGTTGTAGGCTCCATCCCCAGGCCTGGTCGGGGTGCGTGCAGGAGGCAACCAGTGGATGTGTCTTTCCCTCCCAGGCTTTCTGAACAATGGAAAAAATATCCTTGGGTGAGGAATTAAAAAAATAATAAATAAGTTTCTTTAGGAAAATGTTTCACAGCTTAGAAATCAAACCCATTTCCTCTTTTTTTTTTTTAAAGAAGAAAAGAGACATTGATCTGTTGCCTCCCGCATGCACCGCGACGGGGGATCAAACCCACCACATTCTGGTGCCCGGGATGACGCTCTAANGCACCGCGACAGGGGATCAAACCCACCACATTCTGGTGCCCGGGATGACGCTCTAACCGAGCCACCAGGCCACGGTGAAACCCATTTCTTGATATGGAAATATAACTGGCATCCTTACAGTGTTCTGCTCTGTAATCTCATAACATTGCTTGTTGACATTAAAATTTGTAACACCGAGAAGTGTTAACACCTGACCTCTTAAGAGCAGCTTTACTATAACACTCATATTTGGAGACTGAGGTAGGGGATCGGTTCCTAAATGATGAAATTAGGACCCGGTGTGTTACTTCCCTCCAACAGGATGTGGAATACTAAAGCCTAGTTCTAACCCAACACTGTGCTCTTCCTTCTGTTCTAATCCAAATATTGGCGTAGTTAAGGAGCACAGAGGCAATACTATAAGTTAGGTGGATTTAAAAACCATGTTGTGCTTGATCCTGTTTACCCCTGTTAGCCTTAAGAGCTCACCTAATTCCTGGAAAAGCAGGTGGGGTTGCCTTGAGAACCTGAAACCTAAACACAATTAGGGTTCTTTTGAAAAGACTTTACAGAATTGATACTGTAGGGTGGGCCAGCGGGCTATTTCAAGGAAGGAGATCAATGCTAAGAAGTCATTGAAATAGTTTAGCAGGGAAGTGAAGCTGTCTACCCTATGCTAGTGCCTCCCAGGCATTGCTGGGCGGTTGTGAGTTTGGTTATCACAGGGGCTAGGGTGTTACTAGAATTTAATGAGGTGGGGGGAGTCACAGATGCTTAAAAGATTTTCGATCTTAAATGCCAATGCAGCTAGATAATTTCTTCTAGCTTCCAGAGAATTAAAGGCTGGAGGTGGGAGGGGACTAGCTAACATGTTATTAAAATCCAGACGAGCTGATGAAGGCCCACATTAAAGCAGTGGCAATTTGGCTGGAGAGATGTGGGTTTGATGAAGAGGTATAACCAATAAGACACGATACCTGATTATGTGTCGGGGAACAATGTGGGGTGAAGAAGGAAGTTTCCGGGTCGCCAACCTACACATGGGGTCATGTATGTCGGGTGGGGGTGGTGAGATAATATTAGTTTGGGAAATGTTCCAGTTGGTAGGCTTATGGGGTCTCCAAGGATAAATGCAGAATGGGCAGTGGGATAGATGGGTCTTAGAACCGAGTTCAGGACAGACAGACATCAATGGCTCCTCTGTGCTCCCTATGTCCTGGAGACAGGGAAGGATAACCGACACAAGATCCTTGGGACACTGCTTAAAATCCCACGCAGCCCGGCCGGCCGTGGCTCAGCGGTTGGGCATCGACCTAGGATCCAGGAGATCGAGGTTCGATTCCCGGTCGGGGCACATGCCCGGGTTTCAGGCTCGATCTCCAGCAGGGGGCGTGCAGGAGGCGGCCGGTCAATGACTCATCGTTGATGTTTCTCTCTCTCCCCCTCTCACTTCCTCTCTGTGAAATCAACATAGATTTATTTTAAAAACAGAAAACAACCCTCATGCACACACTTCGGAGGTCGGGAGAGGGGAGGCTCAGAGTTCACGTTCCCCGACAAGCAGTTTCATTTCGGGTGTCTGACCACGCTCCCACCTGCTGCCTCCTGCTGTGAAAGTGGAAGCGAAACGGGCCCCAATGCATGAGCATTAGTCCTTAGGAGAAATTGTCCACCCGAAGCAGTGTTGTAACTGCCGAAGACTGTTGCTGCCCTTAAATATTCTGGTGGATGCAGAATAATGATGACATTAATCCCCCTACAATTTCATAAATACACATTTATTCAGACACGCTCTTTTTTAGAGAGGACACATCGGCTTTGTGCCATCTGCATTTCTTTTCTCTCCTCTCCCTGGTGCAAAACTTTTCAGTTCCTGTGGCTTGCTAGCCCATCTCCTAGAGACACTTGAGGGGGGGCATGGGGTGGAGGCCTGGGTGGGGAGGGGCCAGCCTGCAGGCTCTTTCCGTCACTCCCGGGGCTCCTCAGACCGACCCTGCGTCGTTACGGCTCCCTGTTCTCTCCGGCTGGTGGCCTTCTCTTTGTCTGCTTAGGGGCATCTCTAAACAAAAGATAAAATAATTCTTTAGTCCATCTTTTTTTTTTTTTAATGTTTTTATTGATTTTAGAGAGAGAGGAAGTGAGAGGGAGAGAGACAGGAACAGCGATTGGATTGGTTGCCTCCCACACCAGGGATCAAACCTGAAACCTGGGTATGTGCCCTGACCGGGAACCGAACCCAAGACCTTTCGGTGCACAGGACGGTGCTCGAACAACTGAGCCATACTGGTCAGGGCAGTCCATCTTTTCTTTGCTAACAAAATATATAAAACTAAATTTAAACAACTGCTAAGAAGGATTTCTGAGGCAGTGTGTTGGTCGCAGAAAGAGCCCTGGATTGGGAGACCTGAGCTCCAATGGCCACTAAGTAGTTGTATGACCTTGGCCAATGGTCTAATGCCATTTTGTCGCCTCATCCTGGCCCTTCCTCTCTTACGGTAAGGAGGCCTGTCTAGGTGGCCTCCTCAAAAACTATGCAAGGTATTTTGTGACTTTTCTGTGCTCACAGGTTAACAAGGGCATCATCATCATCTGAGAACCTATTCAAAATGCAAATTCTTGGGCTGACCTTGGACTGAGTTAGATGCTCTGGGGACAGGGCCTGTAGTGTTTTATCAAGCCCTCCAGGAGATTCTGATGTGCTGAAGTTTTAGGACCACTGTAGTAACATAAGACTGTAAAACGGACTTACATTAATTGCCTCAATAACAGAACAAATAGGTTAACAGTTGAAAAAGCTGCTCCCGTCCCGGCCAGTGTGGCTCAGTTGGCTGAGTGTCATCCATACACCAAAAGGTTGCCAGTTCGATTCTCCGTCAGGGCACATGCTCCAGTTGCAGGCTCAATCCCAGTAGGGGGTGTGCAGGAGGCAGCCAATCAGTTTCTTACATTGATGTTTCTCTCTCCCCCTCTTCCTCTCTCTAAAATCAATGAAAACACATTAAAAATAAAAAAGCTCTTCCTGCACCCCCACCCATCCTAAGTGCTTGCATCTTTTTAAACAGCTACTTGGGGTTTTACCTGAAACGTGACTGAATCCTGATTATTTTGAACAGGAGGGTTCATATTGAATGCCTCAGCTCTTCCCCTTCCTCACAAGGTGAAATTACAAAAAACAAGTGGCCAGTTCCTACGACTTTAACGAGGAGGTTTGGGGTCCACTCCACATTCTTGTATCGCTATCCAAAGCTGCCTTATTTGTGTATCAGTTATTGAAAAATAATTGACAGATCCTTTTCAATGGCAATGCTTTCTTCCACTTAAAGCCGTACTTCCTATAGTAAAATAAAACCCTACAGTACTTGACAAAATCTATTTTTTAGCAACATTTGTTGAATGAGTGAGTCATTTTTTATTGTTTCCCCTATGAAAAGAAAAGCAGTAGAGCCAGAGGCATTAATGAATTCTGAAGCTTAGGTATTCGTTCATATCACCAATTCAAATTTCCATCAGAAACTCAGAATCAATTGTTAAATGTACAGCCTCTTGGGATTAATGAAATAGGCATGAAGCATTCCAGGGTAGGTGGGTGGGCTTCCTTACCTGGGCCCAGCTATTTTGGGAGGAGCGGGCATTGTGCAGGAGTCACAGTGGAGGTGGCTGAGCGCTGTGCTAGGAGCCCTGCACCCCACACGAGTAGCTGAACACGGTGCCTGTCCCTCCCCTCCATCAAGCTGCTG